ATAAATTGATAATATGCTAGAACATAATCATTAAGCTTTTGATTTACAAACTAGATAACAGCTAAATATAACCTCTTTGAGGTTAGATTTAGTATATGGTATATATTTTAGGCTTGCATGGTTAGGCTCAACTCAAATCACGTCACTTTATTTCTTGATTTTCAATGGCCCCTCTAGAGGCAAGCAGAATAGCATAAAAGTTATTATTTATATTAGGTTTGCAATGTCAGGCTCAGCTCAAATTGTGTCACTTTGTTTCTTGATTTTCGTTGGTCCCTCCTAAGGTAAATAGAATAGTAAAATTTTTTTGAAATATTATTTGGGATTAAAATTAGGCTAGAATGGTTAAATCAAACATTGTAATTTTTGATAACTGAAGGCTAATTCATAGTCAAGTTCGATATCATCATCTAGAATTGAGTCAAAATGCGCTAGAGATTTGAATTTAATAATTGATTCATATAGCTAAAATGGATTCGTGAGCGGTCAGAAAACCTTTCTGGATATCTTTTGGATTTTTGTCTCAGAAATCCCATTTTGCCCCTACTTAAAGCCATTTACATAGAAATATTAGATGCAAATTCTTGGCGATCATCTAATTTTATTGAAGAATTTAAGTTACTAACCAAAACTTTAGAGGAATTACCATATTGGAAACCAATAAATATTAATCAATTTTGTTTAAATTAATGAATGTAAGTTTAGTTTTATTATTTTTAATAATTAATATGTAATAATATTAATATTTATGTATTAATTATTATTTAGGAAAAGATGCAGATTTGTTGAAAAATTAAAATCTTCATTTCTGTTTAAAATAGGAAAATATACATACCATTATGGAAATATCCAAAATTTTACATACCTTTAGCATATTAATATTAATACTAATAAGAATGAATTAGTTAATAAACATTATGAAATTAGAAATAATTTGAAACAAAATATTCAAGTATATCACACTAAAGCGATAAGAAAAGAATTTATTAATACTATTGAACTTTGTATTGATAAAGTTGAAAAAACAAGAATTTATTATATTTATTCTACTTGGTTAGAAGATTCTTCAGCTTCTGTAAATTCAGTAATACAAAATATTGATAATCAGATATTGTTAATGTTTGAATTAGGTGATCTTGAATTAATTACAGATTTACGTCAAATTAATAAAGGTAGAACATCTAAATATGAATTATTTTGGGAGTATGTATTAATATTTAGAAGATGTAGCACAAGAATCAATTTTAGCAGTTGATGAAAGAAGGTATGATATATTTTAACATTTAGCAGTAGTAATTTCAATTAAAGATTTTGAAGTCAAATACTTAAAATCTGTCCTTTAAATATTCCTACTCCTTCTATACAATGGATTTCTTTATAATTTTAGCTAAAAAATCTAACTTACTGTTACCCTACGCTCAACCATTGAACTTTAGGGTAATGATGACTTAATAATAGGGAGTAATACATATAATTAATCTAAGATTACTATAAAATAAGTCCTATCATGATCAACTTTTATCACAATTAATAATAAGTAAACACGTTGAAGGGTTTTGTGTAGATTATTATGTAGAAAGAAAGATTACTTTATTGTAGAATTTGTATTCTTAGAATTCTTTATACTTGAATTCTAAACCCTGAACTCATTACCTGAGTTCTTAAACTCACACTTTGAGTTATCCTTTCATTTGAGCTTTACATTATCTTATTTATACAAAAATACAATTATTAGAAAATCTATATATAACGTTATTATAA